GGTTACCGGGTTGGTCCCCTACCAACCCTACTACCCAACGAACTAAAGAACCAACTACTACGTCGTCGGTGTGTAGAGTAGAGATNATAGTAACTATAGAACACACACACACACATATATATATATATATATATATATATATATATATATATAGTTTTCTATGTTATAGTGGTGGAAAAGGGGGAGCAAATTCAGGGAAAAACTTTACACAGTGCCAGGAGGCATAGTGTGAGAGAGAAGAGAGAGAAACAGGTGAATCATAGAGAGAGAAATTAGGAGAGAGGAGCAAAATTGCAATTTGGGTTTTGGTTTCTCTTTAATTGGATTTCAATTCATTTCAAAATTTGGCAGGAAATTGCACACTTGTAAGAATCATGGGGTCATGGGTCAGCAAATCTCTAGGGTTTTTAAGGGTTTCTCTCTCTTGGGTGCCCAGGTACCTCCCCCCTTTCCTCTTTCATTAACGGTGCTGACAGTCTCATTAACTCAAAACCCTAATTATGTATCTCTATGGTTGAGTCATTATGGTGTTTATGTTATTTTTAGGGCAAAGAGATAGAGCTTAGGCTCTTAAGAATAGGATGTTACAGAGATTCTCTTGGTGAATTTCCATTATAAATTCAGTTCATTGGAGCTCCTTAGGGCAGAAGAGCGCCATTGTTTTCCTTAAAATTTCTTCATTTTGAGGGAGTAAAAACTAGTCTCAAAAAACCAGAGTGAAGAGAGAGAGAGAGTAGTTTTAAGGTCTTAAGCAATGGCGGCTGGCTCACCTCTTTTGGGTTGCTTTGAAGAAGACCAAAGCTCCTTGGCCTCAAAAAATCATCTCAATACTTCATCTGCAAACTCATCATCTTCAGCTGGAAACAACCCTGCACAAAAGAGGAAGAGAAATCGTCCTGGAACTCCATGCAAGTTGCTTTATCAAAGCCCCCATTTATATAAGCATCCCTTTCTCTCTCTACCCGTGTTGTTAATTTTCTCTCTCATTCTTATGAATTCTGTCTCTCTTGCCATGCTTGTCTGAATTTTCTCTCTCATGCAGTAACAAGCTAAAATGGTAGCCTCTCTCAAAAATATGATGTTGGTTTTTTCCTGTTTCTCCTCTCTCTCTCTCTCTCTCTAACGTCAATTACTTTTACAGATCCTAATGCTGAAGTAATTCGACTGTCACCTGAAGAGCTGTTGGCAACAAACAGGTTTGTATGTGAGGTATGTGAAAAAGGTTTTCAAAGAGAACAAAATTTGCAGCTTCATAGAAGAGGCCATAACCTTCCATGGAAATTGAAGGCGAAATCAACAAAGGAAGCAAGGAAGAAGGTTTACCCATGTCCTGAGCCCACCTGTGTTCACCATGACGATTCCAGGGCCCTCGGTGACCTCACAGGGATCAAGAAACACTATTGCAGAAAGCATGGGGAGAAGAAGTTCAAGTGTGAAAAGTGCTCCAAAAAATATGCAGTTCTCTCTGACTGGAAAGCCCATACAAAGACCTGTGGTACAAGGGAGTACAAATGTGATTGTGGAACCATCTTCTCAAGGTAAAGAACACCAGAGCTTTGATTTCTCTCTCTCTCTATAATAAAGAGCATCAGAGACTTTGATTGCTCTCTCTCTCTCTCTAGGTAAAGAGCATCAGAGACTTTGATTGTTCTCTCCCTCTCTAGGTAAAGAGCATCAGAGACTTTGATTGTTCTCTCTCTCTCTCTAGGTAAAGAACATCAGAGACTTTGATTGTTCTCTCTCTCTATACTTTGTTGGTCTCTCTCCATACTTTGTTGGTCTCTCTCCCCCCCCTAGAATGGTCTTTTTGGCTCTGTGTCTACTAGATTAGTGTTTTTTGGCTCTTTCTCTCACTCTCTCATGATAAAACCAAAAGGTCAAGGATTTAGTTATAATAAGATAAAAAGAAGATGGATTTTGCTTCTTTCAAAAGTTTGGAACCCCCTTAAGTTGCAGAAGGAATTTGTCCATGCAAATGTTTTTTGTTGGCATTCAATCCAAAATAATAACAACAAACAAAGTGTCTTTTTTCTTGTAGGGTTTTTTTCATGTGATGGAAGATACTTGCCTCCCCAAACATAATAACAGATATTTTGTGATTGAAAAGAGATTTGGGTTTTTCTTGGCAGGAGGAAACATGGATTTCCAAACACAAAAAGCCAAATAAAAAAGACATTTAAGGAAAAAGTTGATCAGTTATCTTAAACAAAACATAAAATATAATTTAGACAATTGCTTTGGTGTCTTTTATTGACCAGAAAACAAAATAAATAGAAATAAATTGGGGATTCAAGTACTTGTATTTTTTGTTTGCTTAGCAAGGAGAAGGAATTACAAAAAAAAAAAATTCCTTTTTTCTTTTTTCAAGCTCTGTGGATCTTGAACATGGAGGTTAGGAGGCCTTTTTAAATGCACGTGTAAGTGAATATGGTGAAAGAGTTCTCACATGCAGGTGCTCTGAAACTGTTCTCTCTCTCTCTCTCTCTTTCTCTCTCTCTCTAGATAGTCACGCATGTTACATTATGCATACACAGATTTACAGTGCCTCGAAACCACCGCTTTTCTCTTATTCACGTGTTGCCATGTAACCAGAACCATTGGTTTGTTCCGTTGTCGATGGCTGGACATGACCATGCCCAGTACTTGCAGTCGCCCCACCTTGTCATGCATTCTGTTCTGTGCGTCCACTGTTTCAGAGTCTCATGCATATTTTTCCACTATGCATTGGGATGTGTATTAATGGACAAAAGATTCCATTGGGATTTCAAGTTCTCATAAGGAAATGCCACTAGTTCCGGTGGGGAATGTGTGTTTTGTGTTGACCACTGGATTGAGGTTGTTTAATGAGCTTATCCATTCTTTCAATTGATTTTTTATTGTGATTTTAACATATAAGATTCCATTGGGATTGCAAAAGGATTTGTGCCTCACCTGCCGAGCTTAATAAAACCATACTAGGCCTTAACAGTATTCATGTTTCCCTTTCTTTTTTTGGTGTTGGGTTTATTCATGTCTTATTTTCCTTAGGTTTGAGGCCCCTATCTCTCTCTCTCTCTCTCTCTCTTATATTTAGAATGGTACTAATGATATTTTTCCTTTTGTTTTAGCAGGCGTGACTGCTTCCTATCACACAGGGCATTTTGTGATGCATTGGCTCAAGAGACTTCCAAGGTCCCCATAGCATTAAACACCACCGGAAGCAACCTATATAACAGCCTTGGCTTAGGCTTATCCAATGTTGGCTCTTCAATTTCTTCTCTCTTGGATCAAAACCCTAATGGAGGAAACAACCCTCAAATCCAAGGTCTTGGAAGAAATGGAGCCCCACAATCATTTGAAAGCTTGATTTCACCTTCAAATCAAGCATTCTTCCCCTCTTCAACTATCCAAACTTCTTTCAATGAAAACTCCCAAAACAATGGGCTCCTCCAAAATAGGTCTCCTTCCAATTCTTCAAATGGGTTTCTTCAATTCCCCCAAAACAATACTTCTCCATCCTCCATTAATATGTTTGTTCCCTCCATCTTCTCCAATGGCCCTAGTAATGGTTATTATACTAGTGATAGCTTCAACTACACTACACAAAGTGATGTGAGCTCAATGTTCTCATCTAATTTCATGAGTGATCCTCTAGGTTCTAGTGTTTCTTCACTTCTTAGTCAAAGGATTCTTGGAGAGAGTTTGTTCCCTCACATGTCTGCAACTTCTCTACTCCAAAAGGCGGAAGAAATGGGGGGAACAAGTAGTCGAATTGGTGTCAGTTTTCCCCCAAAGAATGCTAATTTTATCAGTGGAAGCAGTGGGATTCAGACTGTTGCTAATTTAAGCAGTGGGAGCGAGACGATGATTCAAAAGTTCACTGATTTTAGCAGTGGAAGCGAGGCAATTCAAAAGGTCACTAATTATAGCAGTGGAAAAGATGGATTTCAAAAAGTCGCTAATTTCAGCCCTGGAAGCGAGGGGATTCAAAGTGCCGCTAATTTCAGCAGTGCAGCCGAGGGGTTTCAGAAGGTCCTTAATTTTGGTGGTGGGAACGAGGGGATTCAAAAGGTCCCCAATTTCAATGGTGGAGGTCAGGGGCTTCAAAAGGTCTCTAATCTTAGCGGTGGAAGCGAGGGGCTCGGGGAACAACTAGAGAACAACCAGTCCCACCTCCTTGAGCTCATTGAATCTTTCACTAATGGTTCTTCTTCTATATTTGGTGGCATTTCGGGGGGACTGATGACGCCTCCCGCTAACTTTGGCGGGGGTTATGCCATGGGCAATGATGAACAAGACAGTGGTATTGGGGCTTACAGTGAGCCCAATTTCTCCACCTTAGAGCAAACAGTCCAAGCTGATTTGCACCTCACTTTGGCTGGAGACATATTAACAAGAGATTTTCTGGGAATTGGAGGGGTGGCCACAAGCTTTCAGAGTGCAATTTCAGATGGCCTTAACATGGCCTCCTTGGAAGCTGAAGTGAAGCCAGGCATGTTTAGGGGAGAGAAGTTGGGAGTGAGAGAAAATTGGAACCATGTTTAGGGATCTATTAAGAGTCAAGGAATTGTTTGGTTTGGGTCAGTGTCAAGGTTTCATTTGTTTTTGGTTCAGTCCATTAGCATAAACAGCATAAGTGTGATATCTCTTTACTGGTTAGTGTTATAAGCCTGGTGTTTTTTTCTATGTGTTTGTTTGGAGGAGTTGAATAAGATCTTGTTT